TCGGCGTAACTTCCTGCAATTTTCGGGCGGTAGGATCAAAAGGCGCGCTCGTCACACCCCCCTCCCTTTTCCTTGCTCCGACCGGGGTGTCCGCATCGGTGGTATGCGTCGCCATCCAAAGCGGATGATTTCTGCCGAGTGTGTCTATATAGACTACTGCAGTCTGTGGACACTACACCCGTGGTCAATCGACTACATCTGCAAACACTGCGCTCGTAATCCGTATAGACAGCTTTTTTTTTTCTTTCCTTTCTTTTTTTTTTTTTTTGTGAGGGGAGGGGGGGATGTTGTTGCCACGTTGAACATACACGTATCCAGTTTGGAGGAAATACCGAATGGCTTTATAGGCTGATTGGAAGGTATTAATAATTTAAAGGGTTTCTATCACTTCTGACGATGACTGACTTGTCTTTTTGTCTTCGGCACTGACTTGTCACAGAGAAGTTGAGAGCTGCAGAAAGGAGCTTCGGTTGTCCCGCCTACAACGCGAGCTTCCCGCCTTCGACTGTGCTCCTACGTGTCTCGCGCACCGCGAGCGCGCACGCGCTGCACAAGCACGGCGGAAGGCGTGGAGCGCGTGCCGGCGGTCGGGCGTTCGAAAGACACGCCCCGCCGTTTTCACTAGTGACTGTTACGAGTTTAGACGTATTTACGGAAAGGAGCACACGGACAACTGCTCGTGCCGGAGTCAGGCTGAAGGGTAAAAATTTCGCTTATTAGAACCATGGTTTCCTATTTACTGACAAAGCCTGGCAGATCGCCACAAGAAGCGGCCGCCGAAATGGAAAAGGTGGAGCGGCAGACAACGGAGAGCCACGTGACTGGCGCCCCGTTGCGGCGAGACGCTGAAACACATTTCTCCCGAGCGAACAAGTGTGTTTCAGGTAATTGCCGTTGCAAAAGCTGTGCGCTGACGTCCAAGTTCCCCGAGAAATGACTCTTTGATGCTCTGCGCTACCAGATCGTCGCTCTCCAAATCTGCGACCGGGCAGTCTATGGCTCCGTCGTCGAACCGCCAGGCTTTGTGAGTATAGAGGAGGCTATATATGTTAGAAATTATGTCGGAATGATAGAACGATGCGTCGGGTACGAGAGTATACGGGGCGCTCGGCTTACCGTGTAGCCGAGAACGGATGTTCGTATAGTCTGGCCCCGTCCCAGCGGTGGTTTGCGGTCGCTTTTACGAGCGGGCAAGATATTGGAGCTCGGGTGTTGACCAACTCCATAACAGTGACATATAAAGTTACATCCTCCTTTTTCGTATTTTTTATCGTAGTTCTGCGGTGTTCCCTCGTCTACGTCAATACTGAACATGGCGAACATCACGTGAAAACAGTCTAAAGCCTTGACTGGAATGCAGTCGACTGCGGTCTGTGGACGCGACACCCCCCTACCCCATGGTCTGTAGACTTTTGTTCCTATAGGCTGCACAGAACAGTCTACATCTCGTGTTCAAGTTTTGAGCAATGAGCACGTATTAAAAGTTGCAAAAAAAGAAGCGAATCTATATTCATATTTCTAAGTAAATGCGCCCTTAAATTGTCAAAATTATGGTCCTAAGTTGAATGCGCCATGGCAACAACGCGCGTGCGAATTTTTCTTTTTGTGGCGTTGTTTTGTGACGCTATAAAGACAACGCACAAAGTCACCGAAAGCTTCTGGATGACGTCTCATACAAAAAAAAAAATAAGCAAAGAACCAACGGCAAGATTATAGCGGCTGAAAGACTTACCGCTCCCGCAATCTCTGATCAGCGAAGGGAGCTACTGGGAAATCCCGGGCGTGGTTTCCGCCGGTCAACACTCAAAGATTTCGTGCAGTGTCGAAACGGTTGTAATGCTGCACACGCGCTGCAGTTGCGAGTAGGAGCTCGTGTGATCTTATCGGCGGCGGCGCGTGGAGGTCGGCGTTTCCAATATTCCCACTAGGAAGGAACGCTCCACTTAGTGAATAAGGTGGGAAATCAGCCAACCGATCCTTGGGGCCGGGGGGGGGGGGGGGGGGGGGGGGGGGGGGTGTCTGTTTCATCCGTTGTGGCGCGAAAGCTTGAGATTCGCGTCAACCGTTCCGCGAAGACCACCCAAGCTTGTCGTACAAAAGTTATCGAAAAATCAAAACGTTGAAAAAAAAAATTTAAATATATCTACAACTCGAAATACTACGTACGTTTGCAGAATAATGTGTTTATAAAGCTGGCACGCGCCTCGATATATAGTGTACATTTCCGATATAGTTCAGAAGCGTTTCTTCATGTATTCAGCCTACCAGGAAAAAATACATTTGACGTTTACGCCACATACTTTTCAGGTCGGAAAATAGGAAACTGCAAGGTGAGATATACAACCAGAATTCAGTATAGCAAAGTACGAGACACAGAAGAACCATATTGAAATGTATACACGACAGATTACTCCAAATATCTGTCGTGAAAAGAAGTTTGCGATTTCTCGGAACACTTTCCCTATCAGCCGTTCCTTCCTAACCCTAATACGATATCTTGCATCTGTAAAATTTGTAATATTTGGAAAAAAAGATATTTAAATGTGAACTTTTTTTTACACCTTCTTTATTAAGCCAACACGTCAGTGCCTCCAAGCTTCAAGAACAGCAGCGTGTGTAGTTTCTCCCATCTTAAGAAAATCAGGGCGTGGTTCAGTATGACCATGTTTCTTGCATGGTGATTTCTCCTTCGCCGCTTTTAATAGCTAGTGGGTCACTGTCATTCGCTGCTGACCAAGAATAAGATGCTTGGTACTCACCATGCTCTAAACAAATATCACAATAACCCATTTCAAACCGTCTTAGCGAACGCGTAATCCTGTCCTGCTTACCGTTTCAAGCGCTACCCAACAGCAGTTCGTGTGTAGCAAATATAGCGCGAGCTTGAAACAATGGGCCCGGTTTCATCGGAACAATACGGGCCCGTTAACGGCTCCAACAAAGACACGCAGAACATAAACAACGCCACGCACGACGCCGTCAAAGGAGAGAGCTGTTAATAGGCCGATTGTATTTCTCTCGATCGACGTATCGGTGAACAAAGGGTTGCCAGGGTTGCGCGTCGAGAGAGTGTAGCCGGAACTCGCCAGATGGTGTCTGTGTCCACAGACCGAACGCTGTCTCGATAAAACAGCGTCCAAGTTCGTTGGCCCCGTCCTGGGGATACCGCCGTCGAATGAAGCTATGTTTAGCTGCAGACTGGAATGCCAATAACTTTGTCTCGTTTTTTTCTTCTCGACTATATATAAAGAAAAATAGAAATTGGGGTCAAGAGCTACATTTTTGATGGCGTATATAAAATACGTATAGACCTCAGCGAGCGGCGTGATAGAAAAGACAACTTTTTTATTGAACGATTTCCAATCTACGTTAGGGTTACCTGCACCTTAGTTAACGAAAAAAAAAAAAATGAGAAAGAGTCCACGGCTCGAGCTGTGGTCAGTGCCGATCTCGTTGTACCTCACTGGCAATGAGAGGATCAGGGCTTTCTCTGCCTTCTTGATTTTAAACTGCATGTGAATCTACAGTAGCATCAACTATTCAATGACAAAAAATAAAATAGGAATGGTTCGTGTCGGTTACAGAACAGTGAACACCCACACAGAGCTGAGAATGCAAACAATGCCCTCGTGTTGAAAAATTGCCAACATAAGCTTGAACAAACGCGGGTGTGAGATGAGTGGGGAGAAAATGTAGCTAACTTCAGTTGACGAAGATACATTATAACCTCCTGTGAAAAAGTTTAACTGATCTGCCGAACAATAAAAACATTTTTATAAATAAGATCCAAAATACTCAACTTGTATAGTTGCAGGCGTTCTTATCATAAACGTCCGGTACGCGTCTACTGTTCTCTAAGCCGCTGTTTGTTATAACCGATGTGACAATATCCTATACGTGAGCTTCTGGAACGCTTTATGTGCGTTATCTCATTGAATACTCGAGGAAACCGTTTGAAAAGCAAACGTGTGCAAAATGCTAGTTCTGTCCAAAGTAGATACCTACACAAATACTACTTTATCGGGCTTCGGAACAGCAGGTGGAGATACACCTTTGTGAATGCCGCTTCCAGGCTATTTATATCCCAGTGAGCAATGCTGGGCTCGAAATTCGTGAGCGCTCATACAGGACGTGACGAACGTCAGCCACTTAAGTGCTACACTGTAACCGACATCAGGTAAAATAAGGCTCACAAATGAGTTTGTACTATGCTTATAACAAAGACAAGAAGTATAGAAGAACCTAGCTTCAGCTTGCATGACAAGTATCTTGCGAAGAGATTCATCAAAGAAACACAAACATACGAACCGCCTGTAGAGATAATGGCTTATTAACGAAATGAATGACTCACGTGTAGTTCCACGCTTTATATTTTTGTTGCGACGATCATGTTTGTCTCTGTTAGCTTCCTAACCAACAGCTGCTAACCGAACACGCGATCCTGCGCCACCTAAAAAACGGTGCCGCCCCGTTTTGGGCGCCGGTTGAAATTAGCCTCAAAACAAAGCCGGCATTGCGTCACCGAAAGAAATTCCGGAGCCGGCACGGCGGAAAAACGGAGAAACCACGGGGGAAAAAACACCGGCTGACAGTTGCTACTGACAGCTGCTCTCTACGATGTATTAGGATATATATACGACACAACGGCTGCCAAAACTAAAGTTGGGGCCGTTATCGGGCTTAGACAAAAGGCATTTATGATTGTAACTTATAACCTAGAGTAACTAACTGTAACAAGTATCGATACATAGTAGCTGGTGGCTAGTCCCTCTCGAAGACCAAAGATACATCGGGCTCCATAGTCCGATATCTGTTCGTTATCGGAGCTGGACAAAACTGTTTGTAATTCTAACTTATAATCGTCACTTGTAACAAGTATCATGACACAGAAGTAGCAGGCGGCTACTCTTTTTCAAAGCTCAAGAGATAGAGCGTATTATCGGGCCCTAAAGTCCGCGATCGTTTCGCAAGTAGCCGTAAAAAAGACACCCCACGCCTACCTGATATGGTTCGCAGACATAGCGGAAAAAGGCGTAGACCGAGGGAACGACGAACCGCGTGTGCTGCAGGCCTTCAGACGTGCTTCAGACGCTCTGCCAACGGACGAGAGACGACGACCCAGAGGCACGTTTTGCGCGTAATAACGCCCTGCCGCCGTCTCACGCGGGCGCTCGCGGGAAAAACTCGTTCTTCGCAGGCCCCCCCTCCCCTCCGGTTGTGGAAAGAATGAAAGAAATATGGCCGCCGGTCACGTGACGTCGTGTGGTGACGTCAGCGACTCCTGGATTCTGAAAAAAAAAAAAGCCACCGCCCACCGGGAGGCGGCCTTGCGCGCGCTGGTTGAGTGACCAGCCGTGGCGGCGGCCCCCGGCAGAATGGCGCCCAACGTGGATGATGACGTCACATCCTGTTTGCTCTCGCGGTGCTCGTTTATACAGGGAATGTCTGGGCCAGGTGTGTGCTGTTCCGGTGTACACAATGGGAAAGCGCACGCAGTGTACGCTTATCTGCATAGGCGCTTGTTCTCTTGTTTGGGAAGCCCACGTGACACCCCTCCCCCCTTGGGAACGAAGCGTGTTGGGTGCCGCTGCTAGGCAGCGGGCTCTCCGCTAATGTGAACACTTTCGGGTTGTGGAGCATGGCTGCTCGCTTTAAGCGGGTTTAGTGGCGTTCGTATCGATTTGAAGACAGTTATATTTTGTTTTGTTTTGTCCGCACAGGTGGGACTGACGTTCGTGTACGGTCCGGGGAAGTTCCGAGGTTAGGATCGATAACAGTCACTAACGATGTTACCTAGGGAGACCCTTTGTCAAATGGGCAACATCAGATAAAATTTGTCAAAGTGGAATGCATTCGTTATGGCTTCGGCGCCACTCCTCAGAAGCTAGTGCGGTGGCGAAACTCTTTCCTTGTACCTATCATACACTTCCGTGCATAAGTTAGAGATAAACGATACCCACGCTCAGACATCTCAATGGCAAACGTATCTTGACCTCACTAAGATATCTCACCTTTTCATCGTAGTCAGTGCGTTCGTAAGATTACCACTAAGTATAATCGAGAAGGTACCGCATTTTTTTTTTCTTCGTGTGACGTATATGCGGGCTTAAAATATGGCAAGGCAATAAACAACTAAGCGTTTGGTGAAGGTTGGCAAGTCGACTCCACTTCTTTACTTCGCGCTAAATGTAAGGCCTGTCAGTGTGGAAGATTGAAGCATTTGTCAAGACAGAATGTAGGTGTTTATGCAAGTCATTTCAAAGTCTCATAGTTAAGTAGCTTTCTAATTTCTTTAATAACGAGAGAAAAAAAACAAAAAAAGAAAACAGGGTTTTGGAGAATTTAAATGTATTAAACGTAACATTTCGTTTATAAACAGACCCTTACATTCGAGATTTAATAACAATATAAAGGGAGAAATCACTGTTAAACGCCTCACTTGGCAAGACCAGTTGCATCTTGTGGACTTTTAAGTATCAAATAAATTTGCGAAATATTGGGAAATATAATGCATGTAGCAATTTGTCACGGAAATCAAGAGTAAATTCGAAATGTCATGTCAACTTCTAGCCATTCATTAATGTGTCATTCATTAGGGCCAGTGCCCCAAATTGTTCCATTAGAATCTGTACTACACCACTTTGTGTTTTAACTGCACAAAACTGGTCCCTAGAGATAGTATTAACCATAGTCTTGAAGTTTAGTTATCCAATTATAGCTATAAAATCCGTCCACCGAACTCAAAAAGAATGTAACTTTTGGGTTTTCATTTAAACAGGCGCTATGACGGCTCCGGTGAACTAATGTCAGTACTTTATATAACTAATGGGTTTATGATGAACTGGGCCCCTGTTTTCAACAACCTCGACTTTCTATTGGCGTATAAGACAAAAAGCAAACAATGGCGACACGTTGTCCTACATCAAACCTACAAAAAAAAAAAATTAATTTCCAAAACCGACGCGCCCCATCGCGGCGAAATACCACGCAGTGCACCCTGGGAACTAGTTGGCCACTCAGTTTCGGTTTCGACTGAGCAGCTTCATCTCAAGTTATCACACCGCGACCGAACGCGCTGCTTGCGTTTTCGACTATCTGACTTTTCACGAATGTACAATACACTCATTCTCGAACGATACAAAAACGAAGACCGGGGCACTTTCCTTGGTTCCCGAAACACTGGATATTGTGCGTGCGAATGCAAACGTAGTAAGACGTGGCTTAGTCCCCTCACCCCACGAGTGCATCTTTGAGCTCGTGGCAGCAATCCCGTCTAGTACCAGTGAACTACAACTGAAATTTGGTCACCTTGAGCCCTACACGTATTTCGTTTGCCAAACGTCCGTTTCGTGTTACTTCATTGAGCAAAAAGCAATCCGGATCCTCACAGGAGTATCGAAGTTGAGCCAGCGTTGGCGCATTAACTGTTAAGGAAACGCAATAAATTCGACATCAACACTGCAAAAAAGTTACTATGATGTCTTCCTCGTGTCATCACATATCGCACACTCAAATTTTATGCTCATATAAGATTAAGTTTTCACAAACGCTGAGATCGGATAGTTACGACGGAGGCCCTAACAGGCGTCCCCTACTCCTCGCTAAGCCTTTTTGGACGACCTTTTACTGACGCCCAAGATCTTTGCCTGAACGGTGTGTCTAAAATTATCTCGGCATACTCAGTGAGGAACAGAGCAAACACATAACAAATATTACGGCCATTACCAACCGTCATATACGCTTTGAATAATTTCGTTCGTTTGGCGCACCGGGGTTCATGCCCGTCCGGCACACTCCCACCGGATGGTGCGACATTCTTCACACAAGTGCTCGGCTTTTGCTTTCTTAAAATGGATTGTATGTGTGAATGTGCCTATATGACTGCAGGATAACTTTATGCGTATACGCGATGTTCAATATTAGTGAAATGCAAGCGGGCGGGGACTTCACGAATTCGTGCAGTGCTGCGGAGCAGTACAGATAAGCGATGAGAAGTGTGTTCAAACGGAGCTTTTCAATGGCGCCTCCGAGTTTTACCTCGCGTCCTTAGGCGTATTAAGAAAAACAGTAATTGCAGAAAGCTATATTTCGTCTATGGACGCACGAAGCAAACAAACTTCCTGATCAACAACACTAATGTAAAGGCGCGAGCTCGATGTACGCATACTTACTGCTGTCTACAGCTTGTTGATTCGTACACAAGCAAGATCCCCGAGCTTCGCACCGTCAAGATTCCCAGCACTGGCTCGTCCACATACCTCGAACGCTAACAGAAAGGCTCAAGTACAAAAATACAACAAGCATGCGTTAAGACAAGTTAGACGTCTCGGGCTTGTGCTAAAGCTTCGAGGTCTGGCCATTTATGTTAGTTTAGAGACCCCAAATGACGCTCTCGGGACCAGAAAACATAAAATAACGGCCGTTTATAGTCCACGCTCTGTGTATGATCTCTTGTCGACGTGTCGATCGAAACCGAAACCATGGCACTCTCCTCCCTGGCCAAGTAGTTCCCAGAGTGCAACGCGCACCGCGTTGCATGCAGGGCTTTATGTAAGTAGTCTATTAGCCTGGTGGTTCGCGGAGGGTTGATTACTCCAGACACGAAAAACATAAAACACACACACACACACAACATCAAAACAATATGCACAAAACCCACATCTACTTAGATGCGACACCGTTTTTAATTCCGATTCTCTTTCTCCTGTTTTCGCATCGCAAGTCCGCCCACCTCTCCAGAAAGATATCTGCAGGCCAGAAGACGCGCCAAGCCTAGCCGAGCCCGTTGAGCAGGAAGTTCCGGTTCTAATTGTTCTGCGCCAAGCGCGCGCGCGCGCGCGGCCCGTTACGACGACAATTAGGCACTTCGCTACCCCCCAGAACGAAACCAAGAGTTCCGTTGGGAGCAGGCAAAGCGTTTAGCGATGTTGTAGTATTTTATGTCGTCTCTTCGGTTTCCCCGCGCCATTAAGTCGAATGGGCTTCCCGCCAAGTTCAATGACCTGTCGCGTGCTCCGAGTGCATGCTGTATACGCCACCGCAGCCAGCAGCAGCAGCAGCTTTCGCTCGCTTTCAAAGAGCAATTAGGGGAAGTCTGCATGCGGGGTCGAGCGCGAACGCACGCGACGACTACGACACAAACCCCTTTCACGGTTGTGTAACGGGTCTATTAAAAAAAAAAAAAATGAGACCGAGGAGGACAGCGTAGACGACTCGCACGGCTACCCCTAGTAGGGTAAATGAGACCCAGGGAAAGCCATGCTCGCCTACACGAGTTTTGCGTGTGGGTGTTCGCGCGACCCTTACAAAAAAATATAGACGTCTTTTTTTTTTTTTTTCGTAGTCTGATTTGACAGGGAAGGAGCGTTCCGTTTTATTTGCTCAGATCCCCGTGTGGGCGACCCAGAGCGAAATATGGGTTATGGGCGTTTTTCAACGTGTTGCGTGACGTCACGAGGCCTCTGTTGTTGTTGTAGTTGCGTTTGGTATACCTTTGAGACTGCTTGACTGATGCGTTGAGACGGCTTTTGTCGTCAGTGGCCATGTTGGCCAACACGTTGTTTACGAAACAAACAAGTGTGCGTCTGAGAACGTGCCGCGCCGACAGCAGCATGATGACAGTCAGAGCCACCTGTTGGTCTGTAGACTAAGACGTCGTGGTGTGCGCAATAGAAACAACAATTCGTTTTCTTTCGTTATTAGATGATAAGAAAAAGAAATTCATAAAATCGGTTGGAAATAAATGGGGTAGACTACGTGACGAGTGTTCACAAGTGGAGGTCTATATACACAAGGACTCACATTAATGATTAAACATTTTCTTTCTGCAGTATACGAGCGGTTGCGGTCATCGTGTACAATGGGAGTCAAAACGAAAGTATCACCCTGACACAATTTGACCGTGTTCCAGATGACTACGCAATTACTAATTAAGCAAGAACGCTAAAAAAAAAAAAAAAAAAATTGGGTTGTGTGTGTGTTTATACAGCCTAGAACTTGGTCTGCCTCACAGGGGCGACGAGTCTCCCAGCTGTAGATGAGAAATTTAGCCAGTGCGGTACAGCCGCTAGCCTGGGGTCTTTAACGTGCATCACGCAGTAGTGATACACGACCGCACGCCGGTACGATGCTCATCCAGATCGAAACGGGCAGGGGTGGGGCTCGAACCCAGGATAGCAAGAACGCTAGTGATTACTCGGTCATGTGGAAAAACAATTACCGCGAGCGCAGGGTTGGAGCTAGCCAGGATTACTCACCGTTTGTCTCGAACTGTCCCTAATCTTAATTCAGAGAGATGATTTGCTCGCCTGAGATTCTTCCAATTGGAATGATTACTTACGTTGTTTTGTTTCATAGTCATTATAAGTCACACCAAGCTGTCCGCGACAACGGCAAGATG